GATCGATCTGCAGGCATTGGCAATCGATTGATCCAATTGATCGGCAGGCATTGGCAATGATCGATCTGATCGATCAGCAGGCATTGGCAATGGATCGATCAGATCGATCTGATTGGCAGGAATTGGGAATCAATCGATCTGATTGATCGGCAGGCATTGGGAATCAATCGATCTGATCGATCGGCAGGCATTGGCAATGGATCGATCTGATCGATCTGCAGGCATTGGCAATGGATCGATACGATCGATCTGATTGGCAGGCATTGGGAATCAATCGATCTGATTGATCGGCAGGCATTGGCAATGATCGATTCGCAGGCATTGACAATGGATCGATCCGATCGATCTGCAGGCATTGGCAATCGATTGATCCAATTGATCGGCAGGCATTGGCAATGATCGATCTGATCGATCTGCAGGCATTGGCAATGGATCGATCCGATTGATCTGATTGGCAGGCACTGCTATTCAATCGATCTGATCGGCAGGCATTCGCAATCAATCAATCCAGTCGATCTGATTGATCGGCAGGCATTGGGAATCAATCGATCTGATTGATCTGATCGATCTGCAGGCATTGGCAATGGATCGATCCAATCGATCTGCAGGCATTGGCAATGGATCGATCCAATCGATCGGCAGGCATTGGCAATCAATCGATCCAATCGATCTGCAGGCATTGGCAATGGATCGATCTGATCGATCTGCAGGCATTGGCAATCGATCGATCCGATCGATCTGCAGGCACTGGCAATCAATCGATCCAATCGATCTGCAGGCATTGGCAATCAATCGATCCAATCGATCTGCAGGCATTGGCAATCAATTGATCCAATCGATCTGCAGGCATTGGCAATGGATCGATCCGATCTGATCTGCAGGCATTGGCAATGGATCGATCCGATCGATCTGATTGGCAGGCATTGCTAATCAATCGATCTGATCGGCAGGCATTCGCAATCAATCAATCCAGTCGATCTGATTGATCGGCAGGCATTGGGAATCAATCGATCTGATCAATCTGATCGATCAGCAGGCATTGGTAATCAATCGATCTTATCTGATTGATCGGCAGGCATTGGGAATCAATCGATCTGATCAATCTGATCGATCAGCAGGCATTGGGAATCAATCGATCTGATCTGATTGATCAGCAGGCATTGGTAATCAATCGATCTGATCGATCAGCAATGTTCTTGCTGCCTTTCAGTCCCCGTTCTCATCCCGAATCCTTGCAGTAATTGCAATAATTAACGGCTCGATATAAAATAATTATTTAGGTACAGATTTATGCAATAATTTCCATTTGTGTTTTTTAGCAGTGTGTGTCTTACAACACTGCTTAGAATTCTGATTTCTTTCCTAATAATTATTTCTATTTTATTTTTTCCTATTCAGGAGGTTTTTGTTTTTTATGTTATATATAGTAATGTAATTGTATGTGTTACATGTTATGTTCTATAGATCGTCTTTAATTTTTTATATTTTATCTTTAATTTTATTTTGTAGCTGTAATCTCTATCATTCATACAATAATGATAATACAATATTTTTAATAATGAAAAAATCGGGTTTTTTTTCCCCCCAGAATTCCAGCTGTAATTCCTGATGTTTTTCTGGAATTTTCTCTCCCCCAGGCCATGACGGGGGCATGCTGGTGTTCAATCCCAGCTGTAATTCCCGATGGTTTTCCATGTTTTTTCTGGAATTTTCCCCCCCAGGCCATGACGGGGGCATGCTGGTGTTCAATCCCTGCTGTAATTCCCGATGTTTTTCCATGTTTTTTCTGGAATTTTCTGTCCCCCAGGCCATGACGGGGGCATGCTGGTGTTCAATCCCTGCTGTAATTCCCGATGGTTTTCCATGTTTTTTCTGGAATTTTCTCTCTCTCCCCCAGGCCATGATGGGGGCATGCTGGTGTTCAATCCCAGCTGTAATTCCCGATGTTTTTCCATGTTTTTTCTGGAATTTTCCCCCCCCAGGCCATGATGGGGGCATGCTGGTGTTCAAGCTGGAGCGGGAGCGGCCGGCGCTGGCCGTGCACGGGAATTCGCTGTTCTACGTCAAGGATCGATTCCTGCGGCAGCTCGACTTCAGCAGCTCCCGGGACGTGGCCGTGATGCAGCTCCGCAGGCACGGAATGAACCCCAGAAACCCCAGAAATCCCATAAACCCAGCCCAGAAACCCCATAAATCCCATAAGCCCATCCCATAAACCTTTCCTGCGGCAGCTCGACTTCAGCAGCTCCTGGGACATGGCTGTGATGCAGCTCCGCAGGCACGGAGAAACCCCATCCCAGAAACCCCAGAAACCCCAGAAACCCAGCCCATAAACCCCATAAATCCCATAAACCCACAAACCCATCCCAGAAACCTTTCCTGCAGCAGCTCGATTTCAGCAGCTCCCAGGATGTGGCTGTGATGCAGCTCCGCAGGCACGGAATGAACCCCAGAAACCCCAGAAACACATCCCAGAAACCCCATCCCAGAAACCCCAGAAACCCAGCCCAGAAATCCCATAAATCCATCCCATAAACCCCATCAATCCCATCCCAGAAACCCCATCAATCCCATAAACCTTTCCTGCAGCAGCTCGATTTCAGCAGCTCCCAGGACGTGGCCGTCATGCAGCTCTGCAGGCACAGAGAAACCCCATCCCATAAATCCCATAAACCCCATCAATCCTATCCCATAAATCCCATAAATCACATCAATCCCACCCTAGATACCCCATAAACCCCATCAATCCCACAAACCCTTCCTGCTGCATCTGGATTTCAGCAGCTCCCAGGATGTGGCTGTGATGCAGCTCCACAGGCAGGGAGGGAGAAACCCCAGAAACACCAGAAACCCCATCCCATAAACCCCATAAATCACAGCAATCCCACCCTAGATATCCCATCAATCCCATCCCATAAACACCATCAATCCCATCCCATCAATTCCATCCCAATCCCATAAATCACAAAAATCCCAGTCCCATCCTATCCCGTCAGTCTCCCCTATAAATCCAATCCCATGAATCCTCTCCCATCCCATAAATTCTCCCATTTTCCTCCCAAATCCTCAAATTTTTCCTTTTTCTGTTTTGTTTTTTTTTTTTTTCCCCAGTGGTTCCAAGTTCCCGGTGTTCAGCATGTCCTACAACCCAGCTGAGAACGCTGTGCTGCTCTGCACTGTGAGTCCCAAATCCCAAAATCCCCAAAAT